TGCTGTGGAGCATACGGTGGACGTCGATGAAATCGACAGTCGAACTGTCGGCTCGTGGTGCTAAGTCCGATGAGCCTACGTAAGAATGTACTTGACATTTAATAGATATATGTATCAGCACTTGGGGCGTCGAAATAGTCTAGTCCGTCCATTAAAGAGTTAAATAATTGGATACGCAATCTCTGCGCTGGAAATAATGTACAGTACGGACTTCGCGTAAACGATACACTAATCGCAGTAACTTGACGAAATATCAGTTGACTGAAGAAAAAACGCAGAAAACAGTTCGAGTCACCGAACAGGGTGGTAGGTCTATTAATTATTCGAAGGAAATACATTCTGAGGTCGACAAAGGCAGCTTACAAGATTAGAAATAGCAAGTTTTGCATATCTCAAAAAAAGACGCGGTTAAAGTCATGTGGGAGAAGAGAATGGAGCGATGACGGTGATTTCTCGGGCTAAACTTGATAAGTGGAGGAGGTAGTAGCTCCGCCGTGGCCAGTCCAGTCAGTATGATACCACGTTCCGGGGGCAGACTCAAGCTCGTACTGATGGGCGCCGAAGTAATCACGTTGTGCCTTTAAAATAATTACTCAGAAAATTAGATGAACTAGCAGAAACTATCGCATGCTCATGAGCTGCATAAAAAGAAATTAAAACAGTTATTGACGGAGCCAATGTTGACCGTCAATATCTGATACAGGAAAATGACAAGATTCGCATTCGGTATATGCTACTAATGCTTCCAAGTTTTCATTAGGACTTTAAACACCTGCAAGCATGACACTGACAAAATATTGCAGGATCAATTGGTACGGATTTACAAACGTAGAGAGCGTAAAGTCATTGAGGTAAGACTAGAATCAGAAGAAGGGGTTTATTTTAAATTTGACGTTTCAGGTAGTTGTCTTGTCGACCCATCTTAAAAGAATAAATACTCTGACTTATGGTTCTCGCTATATGCCACTCTTTTTCTGTGTGCGTATCTTACCAAACCCGGCTGAACCCTTGTGTATGCCTTGCGTCTCGCTGTAAATCTCCTAGTTGACCCTGTCTGTCACCGTGGCGCTAGTGTTTATTTCGCCCCTATGTGCGTTGTTCATCTGTTGTGTCACGTCGGCCACCGTCTTGCCTTGGCTTGTTTCAACTGCAACTGCATTTTCCCTTGCATCGTGTGCGCTCTATATGAGTAATTAAACGGTCT